TGTGCTCCCAGAAACCCAGCTTCCATGGTGGTACTTGGAAATCCAGTGACAAGCAGACTTCCCTTCCAGAAAATCAGGACAGATACAGCAGATATCCATGTTGTCAAATGTTTTAAGGAAATCGTTCATTGACATCCTGCAAAAAAAAAAAAATATGTAAATAAAATGTATCCTTGACAAAATGTATTTTATGTTTTAGTTAATTTCAAGAATGTAAATGAAAACATGGTTCATGCTCACCAGAACTCTCCATTTTCATTCACAAGGAGTTGTTTGCGGTCCTCACTGCTCACTGTGTTCCACAAAGGTGATCTGAAAGAATTATGCAAAATAAACATCAGGACAAAGGATAACTTTGACAATTATAAAATTTCACAATTTTTGTGAGTTAAGGACTGCATGTCTACTTTCCTTTACTTTTTGCAGAAAAATGTGATGTTTTATATTTTTACTGCCAGTTGTTCTGCTAGTTGGTTATCTGCTATAATGTTGAATAAAAGCAGAGCTTACTTGTCACTCCAGTCTCCTTTCCATTCACTGTCTCCCCATGGATTGAACGATCTAACCAGCTTAACTGGGTTTCCACCACGCATGACCTGTTGAGCATGATTTCAACGGCAGATATTTAGTGGCATATAAATGTGGCAGACATTTTTTATATTTTTAATTGTATCTTTAATAGACTATTAACAACATTTTGCAATACTTTTACAAGAATTTTGAAGTAAAATGCTTATTTGCAATTATTTGTTGCATTCAGTGGATGGTAAAAGATTTTTCCCAGCAAGTTCCCACACACTTTCTAACAGGAACAAGCTTGTGAAGACTAGAAAGGATTCTGAAAAATCTCCCTGAAGCAACCTGGGGTTAAAGTCCATGCTTAATATGTTCCTCACACAGTATAAATGGATCTTATTACATGCAATTATATAGTTGGCATCAGTCAGGGTTGCCAGGTTTGAGTAACAAAGTCCTCCCAAATGCTAATTAAGACAAGCCCAATCACAGTCAAAACTAGGCCAAATGCAGTTTTGTTTTTGTTTTTTGTTTTTTTATTTA